TGAGCCCCAGACCTTGGTTTTGCTATTCCGAATGCATATCTTCTAAAGTCAGGATTATGCGTGATATCAATATACAGCAGTTAAGGTTGCAGGTGTAATAAGGGTGGTGTCTCAGCTCATTTCTCCTTCTGATCTGCCGAAGCTACTGTTTTTGGCAAAATAACTTTCAAGGGTGCACAGAGTGTATGCGGCGACAACGTTCTGGAAATTTGGACGCCTTCTGGACGCAGCATTCGCAACCGGCGTTCGGCGGATACTGAATCATGATAGCCTGTTGGGCCCATGCTTTCGGCCAATCGGAGCTCGCCTTGATGGTAAACCGGCAGTTGGTCCGATCTTCTGGTCATGGGCTTTCTTGGCCATAGCAGCTCCTAACTGCGAGCGATAAAGTGGTTCCGGTGCAGGATTCCGCTTAACACATAAAAACAAGAGACTCAGCTGTGTCTCCTATTAAAACCAAACTGGTGTGCAACTGGGTGTATGTTGCGAATTTCGTTCAATTTGGGTTCAGGTAGAACCTGCGGTAAACAGAAACTGCGACTCCGCCTACCCGATGAGCCCAAAGAGGAGCGAAACCGGTCGTAGGCTATCAAGCAGTTTTCAGAAAAACGAGACGTCTCGAATATCTTACTAACTTCAACGTGTGGTGAGCTTTATGTAGCGCATTCGGTTGAAGAATGTCATAAACGAGAGATTCAGCTGAGTCTTCCGGTAAAACTAAATTGGTGCGCAAATGAGTGTATTTCGCGAAACTGTAGTTCTTGTTCTGCGGGTGGATGTCCTTGCATTAAATCTGCTTCCACCCTCTGCACACATTGCTCCTTAGTCCACTTTCTTAACAGGAAAACACCCTATCGATGCTTAGGTCCCCGTCCCAACCCCCCACTCAACAGTCCACTGATAGTGCTGTATTTACGCACTAATTTATCAGCCCCCGCCTCCAGGGCGCAGCTGCCTACCTCACCTTCCCGAATCCTCGGTGAACGAAACAGTGGCAGCTGCAACCAATGTACGACAAGTACGCGGTTATTACAGCCGACAATGATGATGATGAAGGTGCAGAGAAGAGACACAAGCTTCCCACCTAAAATCACAGCAAACCGTTTAAAGCTAAAAAAGCCTGGGCCGTTACTTTGCTTGTGCTTTCGGAAGGCTGTAACGTACTGTTTTATCAAATCAACGTGATTTAAACCGGTATCCACTTTAGTGCTTTGGCGAATCTCTCAAGATTTGCACTCTTTAGAATTGCACCAACCGAAACAATGGCTAGAACCTGTTAGCTGTCCGTACTGGATTACCATAATCAGACAGCGGGATTCAAGTGTGGGACCGGGTGAACAATCTGACGGTTGGAGCCAATTAACATAGCCCACGTTCAGAAATACAAACCGAACCTGAAGGCAGAATTGCTAATCGATCGTCGATGCTAGACTTAATTTTTTCGGAGAATAACTCTGTAAATAATCCCAGAGAGGGTAATTCTTCCATAACTTGTTTAAGGATGCATAATTATGGTGTGAACTGGTTGCCTGAATGTGGATCTCATCAGTGGTTGCCACCTGGTCAATAAACTGGCTGGAAAGACGACTGTCCCTTTGTTTGGGGTATCAACTTGTACAGTAGACACTGAAGTTTTCAGTCTCCAGTGGGTCTTCCACCCAGACCTTCACGTGTGAGTAGTTAACTTAACCCAATTCGAATCGGAATTCAACCACGGATTGCAGTAACTTTGATGTTGATCAGCTGAACTTGACATACACCCCATTGCACCAGTCAACAGCGGTAAGAACATCATTGATCGTACGACTATGGAACAACATATAGCGTCTGTTTCTTCCATTGATTCTGATTATTTGTGTCTTGACAAAGATTACTTTTGATGGCGGAAGACTCGAGACAGGTGCATCCGCTCCTAACTGGGGTCGTCGAGCAGACGTAGTCCCGGAATTCTAGTCTCTGACTGGAACAGCAATTCGTTCAAATTTGCATGGTGAAATTATTCGAGCTGAAGACTAGTTTGCTCAAAACGTACAGTTGTTTCATACAACTTATTTCAAAATCAAGAGCAATTTTACGGAATATTCTCGTAGTCTGTAAGCTGAACATTATGCTGAAGAATATGCGAGGCACTAGCTCTAGCAATTCCATCATGCATATGGGTGCCTCAGCTCCTAAATCGAAGTTTTTCTTTATCAACAACTCGCTAGATTCTCATGCACAACGCCCTTATTAGCAATGAAGTCGACTGAAACCCTTTCATTTCCCCCCAAAGAAGATATGTTAAGTGAGTTTTGCTTGTCCTTTCTTCAATAGCTATAACCTTTTATTGAATTAAAACTCCAGTTTTGCCATCCTCCTATATAGCATGAGGATGGAATTTAAGGGTGAATATTGATGATAGACAAATCCATAAAATAGGTGATACCTTCGAAAGTACAAAAGGTAAAAAAATCAGCTACAGTTGAAAGGTTAAACTTTTGTTGGTTCTAAACTATTTGCTTGCTCACTACTGTGGTGAGACATACCTCTTGAGACGTTCCCTGAGATTCAGCTGAACAATCGATATTGATCGTTTGTGTGCCGCCCGGCGGTATCGATCCACTCGCAGGCGATATAGTGAAGAAACCCGTTTGCAAACGGGGCTGTGGAATTGTCAGCAGAGGCATTTCCGTTCTGAAAGACGAAACAGTATGTTATTGGTGCTGTTCGACTGCTACATATTACAGCGTCATGCACCAGGATCGAATGGTGCGTAGTGCAGCCAAAGCGAGTGGTTGAACGTGTGCGAACAACGAATCTTTTGCAAAAGGAGTAAAGTAAGCCCACCGTTAGGACAACATTTACCTTTGTTTTCGACTACCTGTTGAACCTCCTGGTTGACTGAGAGATTCGAACAAACGAAAGTTGGAGAAATAAAAATAAGCAGTAGAGTTCTTTATAGCATTACAGAACACCAACGACAAATGTGGAAGGAAAATGAAACAATGCGGTCAGGAATATCGCCATACAATTTTAATTGGGACCAACGCTTGTGACCACATTACTAATTGAGTTCATAGTAAATGAGGTCACAAAGAATGCAAGTGAAAAAAAGTTTCACAGTGGCTCACGATACTCGAACCATAATATTTAGATACACGTATTTACATTGATCAATCTTTTTTCCATTATTCATTGGACAGTGCATTTTACTGATCAGTTTCTTTAGATGGTTGGTACTCACTCAATTTGCCACATTGCTTAATGTCTCTTTTCGATTTAACTGTCTGATACTGAACAGTTAGTTTGAAAATTCTGGAAGGCCCAAAGCATGTGACATCCACCAAGTCAATTACATAAGATAATTTGGGGAAAGTCAAATCTAGTAATCCCTTATGTTTTACGAAAAAATCCCTTCAGGAACCAAAGTGTGCAACTATAGAAGTAAAGAGGACTGGAGGAAAACTTAAGATTTCTTGTTGCATAAATTAAAGAATTTAGTCTGTACTTTTTGTTTTGTCAGGGAATACTTGTAGGACAACCTACAGGCATCACCCTGATCATCAAGTAAGGACGAATATGTCACACATAAAACAGGTATCGTTCAGCTGTAACACCCTTGCTGTACCTAGCTGCCGCGACACCCGAATGAAGCACGAGGACTGGAGTACTGCCAGATTTCCAAAGTCGAGATGCAGAGAATGGGCTCGAACCACGGACCTCTCCACAGTAAATATAAAATGGGTAGATAAGCCATATCATCGCATAATGTTTGTGGTTGGAACCTACCACTTGAATCAAAGGTTATGCAACTTGTCCTTTAAACTTCACTCGCCGGTCTCCGTATCTATCAGCTTGTGTTTAACAAACTTCATCTACTAGCTTCTTCAACTGCCGTAAATTCGTCCGCGCCTTGCATCCGGCGTAGGAGTACAAGGTCTTCTTACTGACCAGTAGCTCAGTTCAGTCGGGACACACAAGTTCAACTGAAGTGTCTATCCCTAACAAATTCCTGGTTCAGTAAAGCGAATTCTGTATCTTATCGATTATTTTTATATGCACATCTGAATGTCATGTCGGCGCTGAGCGTCCTGAAAGCTGCCTTAATTCCAATGAGCCACGGCGTCCATGGTTGCCCTCCCAGTTTACTATGGTGACTTGGTAGTAACGATCAAACTACGTCCTGGTCGTCATACACGAAATTTGAAAAGTGCATTTGTTCGCTGCCCTATGTGCGCAGAAAATCCGTGTGAAAGGCCTAGAAAACACACCGGTTGCTCGGGTGTATGAATGCAGGATTACAGATCTGGGCCTTCCACATATAGCAAGGAGTGGATGAAGAGGATAGTATGAAGCGATTTTCGAAATGCAAACGAGATTTTTTCGAGCAAACGAG